ACACACACACACACACACACACACACACACACACACACAAAATGTGCACGTGTACAAAAGTGAGACGGAGAAGAGGATAGATTAATTATATTTTGTATTTATTTTCATTTTTTTAATTTCATAATAATTGACAAATACGCCATGAAAGTTTTTAAAATACAAAAAAAGAAATCATGTATCGTTACTCGTAATTTATCAGATAGAAAGCAATATATGGCCACATTCTAACTGAAGATTGCAATGGATTGCGATCAAGAAAATAAACATTAGAGGAAATGTAAGAAGCGTGAAAAAATAGTGTTGGATCTACAATGTGCTCTTTGCATCTTGTCTCTTGTTTTTTACCACTTTTTATCATCTTTGCCTTTTTGCCTCTTATATCCTGATCCTTCATTTTCGCCCGGGATAAATGTTGACGAACTTCGGAAGAGACAGGAAATACATGACAAGAAACACGATTGTCGATAAAATGGTCGGAGGGAAAAAGGCAAGAGGTAAAAAGCGAAAAGCAGGAAGCAAAGAGCGCATTGTAGATCCAACCTTTTATAGAAAAATAAATGTTTAGACAACATTAGTGAAGAATTTTGTCTGTTCTTTTATCAACCGGTTGCAGCAGGATGCACACATGTTATAACTAAACAAGAGTTCTTTATTTATATTGTTCGTTTCACTGAAGAAAGATAGCCGAAACGTCTGAAGCATATGTGAGATTAAAATTTTATGTTTTCTACGTTAATACGCAATTTTAAATTGCGTATTAATTACCACGCTGATTCCCATTGCCTATTTCGTTGTTTGTTAGAAAAATTAAGGAAGAACGTGTCAATTATATCGTAAAAATATATTTATTAAAATTTAAAGAGATATGTTAAAATTCATTGTATAGTTTTTGAATCGAATTAGTGGCAGAATGTTGCTTAGGTATAGCGTGAAGGAAATAAGGGAAAGACAATTTTCACACAGCTAGCTGAAATATATTTATGCGTACGGACACGCGGAATGTATTATAATGTATTATAATTGTATGCATTAGACAGTTGGTGTAAATATTTTAATTATACGAGACTTACAACAAAATTCCTTTAATTATGAAATATAAGAAATTTAAAATGTAGAATTTTTTTTATTAAACCAAAGCAATATTTATTATATCTAAAAATTAAGAAAAGACTATCATATAATATTACGATTAAATTTTGAATTGTCTATTTACGTACATTAAATATTTCAATTTTGCATAATAAATCTTTCATCTTTTTAAAATTACTCTTATTTTGTTGCACCGATTTATTTCAAATTTTACGTTATTTTCAAATAAACGTAAAAAAAATTTCTTGAGATTAGTAAAGAATTTCTATACTTACTTGAGAGATCGTGCCAGTCAAGTACTTAGAGAATAGGAGCTGTCCTTGGTCGAAGGAGTCGACAACTGATACCAGTTACTCGTTGATCGCAGCTCTTATAGTCCTGTCTGGTCCAGCTAATCTATAGCCACGGAAGGGATAGCAGACGTTCAAATCAAAATAGCGCCCTGCTAATATTCTTTTCCGCTTATTATATTTTATTCTCCGTGTACCTCTTTATCTGTCTATCCGCCTCTCTTTCTCTCTCTCTCTCTCTCCCTCTCTCTCTCTCTCTCTCTCTCTCTCTCTCTCTCTATCTCGCTCTCCCCTTTTTTCTTTAGCATTTCTTCATCCATGAGAAAAGACCTAAACTAATTAATCAATTTTTTTAATTATAGTGGAGAACATATTGGCACATTGTATGTTTATATTAATAGAACAACGAATAAAAAATAATTATATTAATATCACTAATATAACGTATATAATAAATTATTTATATTGCAGTAATGTTTTGAACAAAATTAAAATAACTATAATTTCATACAATACCGATATATATATATATATATATATATATACAACAAACATATACACACACAACAAATAATGAGAGAAGAGGGAGAGCCAAACAGCCGGAGCTAGATAATTGCCCAATAATATTTTTAATTTTTAAATCTATTTAATTTCAGCTATAGTAAACTGCGCATCGATTACTGTTGATCTTTAAAAATGCAATCATAACTTAAAGCTGATATAATAATATATAGTATATTACATATAATGTTGAAATGATATGATGCTAATAAACATCTTAAAATACTGTAAAGAATTTTAATTAAAATTTAAATTTAAAATAAACTTGTGGAAATAAATTTTAGCAATGGGGAGGCTCTATCGCGTCTACCGTCAAGTATATTTTTTCGTTTCATGATGATTCATGATGAAGGATTATCATTTATAACCTTACACGTATATATAAAATAAAGATGTAAGTAATAAAAAAATAATAAATAATAATAAATATAGATGTAAGTAAAGTGACGAGTAGAAATACTGAAGAAAGACAAGATGCAATTAAATTAATATTGATAATATCGATTTAATCATGTATGTAATTAACAGCACTTCATTATGTTACTGGGATTAACGTAACAAATTGATTGAATAGAAATAATCATTTCTTAGTAGTATTACTTTATTTAAGATTTTATCTAAAATAGAAAAAAACGAAGCATACGTTATAAGAATAATTTGATTGATTAATCTTTAAACATAAATTTATATATAATTATTAAAAAAGAGAAATAATGTTAAACTTTTACATTTCTTGTGTGTGTGTGTGTACATTTTCTAAAAAATTAATTAATTTAATTTTGACTTCTTATTTGGTTTTCTTTATATGGTTTTTAATTGTTAAAATTGTAGTATTTACTTGTAGAAAATGAATTGCGTGATTAAATATCGTCGATTTCTATCTGCGCGATTCCTCATAAGATTAAGGAAGTATCGGTTACATAAAAGAGTAAAAAGAATTCAATTTTGCGAATTTTCTCTTTATCGCTGCATTAAAAATATTGGCCAAGTACGTGATCATATTTTACAAAAAATACATACATACATTTTTTTAGATATTTTGTATAAAAAGAATAATTCAATACAAATTGAATTATTCTTTTTAATATTGACTTGTATACATACACATGTTATGTATGTATGCACAAAAAACTAAATGAGTCGCAGAAAAATATATAACTTCATATAACAATATCATCCAATATATAAAAAAAAGCACTAACTGTCTATCCGTTTTCGTCAAATCAAAACATATGGTGCAAATTTATATGGTTCATGATTTTTTAATGAATACGACGTGCATTTATTCATCATAATGAATATTTTCTACATTCTTCACAATAGTGAGTATATTGAGTTGTATGATTAATCAGTATTTTACATTAAATAATTGACATTTCGATTCTAACCAAAATGCTTTTTCCAGTCATACTGATGTTTGCAATATCCGATTGTGGGCGAATTCATAAAATCCCGATTAATACAGTAAGTTTTAATATATTTTCTTCTGCTGCTAAAAGATTTTTTAATTACAATGAGGTTTTTTAATATTTTTGACTTATTAATAATATCGTAATATTATTGTTGTTCTATCGTTATATTTAATATTATTGGAATGTACAACTGATAATTAAATCTTAATATCTTTATTTCTTTAAAAAACGATATGTATATTATATTTGTTTAATCAGTGAAGTTAAATTCGTTTATGGAAATTTTATTTTCGACTTTTTGATTGCACATGTAACCATTTATACCAATTTCAGTTTAACACATTTGTATTTGTGTGTATCTCACACTTATGGCTCGGGTGTAATGACTTGTCTTTCTTTATTCATGTGTATTGATCTCTAAATTATAATAGTAATAAAGAAACTTTATCAAATTCAAAAGAACTCTCTCTCTCTCTCTCTCTCTCTCTCTCTCTCTCTCTCTCTCTCTATGTCTGTTTCTATTTTACAGTGATATAATCATAATAACAATAGCAGAATAATTAATATTCAATACTCAAATACAATAAAAATACAAATATTTATAATAGTTACGAAGAATTGATGCTGAAGACACGTCGTTTAGGGATGATAATATTAATTGTTTTTGAAATAATTACAGAATCAAAGAGATACGCGTCATGCTGAAGGCGCAAATTGTCACGGCACTTTACCAAACGCTTTACAGAAGAAAACTATTGAAAAAACAAGTAACATCGCGCAAAAGGCGGCACAGGAAGCGAAGGCCGCGTCCGAAGCGCAGAACATTGCTGGTCAGCAAGCAGCGCGTCAAGTACTTAACTACACTATATATACGATTATTCAAAATGATATTTCTCTTAATTGTCGAACGACAAGTCGTGAGATGATTCAAAAATATTTAATTTACAATAAATACATTTTAATTTTTTAATATTTCCCAAATACAAGACTATTAATAACAAATTGACATTTCTAACTTTTTCATTTACTTCTGTCAGATCAAATATCAGCAGATATTCAAAACTTTGCATGTAAAATTGTCGTAAAATTAGCGGCATGCAAACGATCTACAAATACGTCATTAATTACATTTATGCGAGTGTGTGTTAAGATCGGTATTTTGTTAAGGAAATACGGCACGTTCATACGTAATAGGTGAAGGCTCAACTGGCGGAGAAGGCGGTTCAAGCTGCAAAAGCCGCTGAGGCGGTCTTATCGGGTAAGGAAGTAATGGTCGAGCAGTTGCGGGAAGAAGTGAAGGAGGCACGATCGGTAGTTCAAGAGGAAACATCTTCCTTGCAACAAGCGCAGATTAATGTCAATGCTGCGGTCCAAGCGGCGCGGCAGTCACAAGATCAGGTATATGATAGGTAAAAACCAAAACATATAAGTCACAATACGAGTTGAAAGCGAATAATATGTAACATCAGTATGAACTGTGATTCAATATTTTTTGCACTGTGTTCTAAATTTAAATTATTTAAATTATTTAAATTTAAATTATTTAAATTTAGAACAAATTGTTTACGATCTAAGCCTTAATTTATGACGCTCGTATTTAGACACTATGTATAGATCTTGACATCTTATCTAGCTTCATTTTTCTTCTCTTAATTTCTTTATTCTTCTTACAATCTTATCTTCTTTCTATTCCTATATTCTTTTTACAGTTAATCTATCACTTATCCTACTGTGTGAGTGACACTTGATGAAGCTGATGAAAACTGTATAACTGATTATATCGGTTGTCGTCGGTAGATTGTCTGTCTATTTAATTTATGAGTTACAATCATTATCGCGCTATATTTTGAACCATGTATTGGTTATTACACAGTTTTGCACTGTAGCTTTCTACTAAAAAGTATTTCTACTACTCTACTAAAATATTAACTCAAACAATTAAATTAATATTCTTTTAATAATTTGTAATTAATAATCAATTTGATTGCTATATTACAAGTATGTTACAAACTCACAACTATTATATAGATATGTAAAAAAATTTATCGCGAGAAATTTCAAAACACTGAAGAGAGAGGGGTTAACAATTGATAATTAATATTAATATTTGACACAATCTGCCTTGTAAATTAATATTTGTATAATCTAAATTAATATATACTTTTTTTGAGTTGTGCACATATATCATCTGTCACTTTCTTTTTATAATGATAAGAACTACTTTTTTTGTTATTTTGTTAAAGTAAAAAATTTTATCATTCTCTTTCACCATTATAGATATCAATTATCTATGTGAGATACATAGATAGATTTTATACACACATATAATGGAGAATATCCACTCTCTTTAGAATATCAAAGTGTTGCTCTTGAGTTTCTTAAACATGCTGAATAGAAAAGAACGAAAATGATTCTTAGCAACTTTTCGTTAAAAATCTATTTTAAAAGATCTATAAAACGTTTTAATTATGCGGAAATCTAAAGCGTTGCATTTCGTGCAACCAAATCGCTAACAATTTTCTAAAAATGTATAGCTGAAGACGTTGATGAACGCGGTGCATACAGCCAAATCGAATGCGGCGAACGCGCAGGCAGCTGCGAGTGGGGCACAGAGATCGTTGCGAGAAAAAGAGGAGTTACTGGAAGCAGCCAAAAGGCGAGTGGACGAGCTGTCGAATCAATTGCAAAGCGCTCGGCAAGATCTCGCGAACACAAATCGCGCAGCGGCAAAAGCCAACGCTTCTGCACACGAGGCGAAGGCAAACGCCGCTAGGAACAAGAGAAGATTGGCACATCTCAGAAAAATGCGTGCAACGCGCCTAGGTGTAGCGCGAGCTTCTTGAGATACACGCATCACATTGCACATCGAGACTTAAGCAAGGTTTACACAATGCTTTTTACTAACAGCTAGTCTTATTAACAAACTAGAAGACTAGCAGCTAAAAAAATAAATAATGTATAGAATTGTATTTTTTTAACTATTATAGTTTTCTAATTTGTTAGAAGACCAGCACGCTAGTAGAAAAATAATCGTGTAAACCTTGTTAGTTACCAGCAAGATTTAAAGTAAGTAGTTGTTAACTGAGCAGAGATAAACAAAAAAATTCTTTGTAGAACTTTTGAAAATAAAATAATAATTATTATTATATGTCAACAATACATAATATTACAAATAATATAATAAGATTAGTGCTATTAATTCTTTGTTTTTTATTTAATACTCTTGATAAATATTGCCTGTGTTTTGTAGATATAAGTGTTTTGTTAGAGATTCAGGTGTTAGCAATTCTGTTAATATTTACGCGTAAGTATTATATTCGCGTTTCATGGCAACATATAGCAAATACAAATTACATATCGTAACATTTTTATTTTCGGAAATTTACATAATTTGGGAGAAAAATCGCTTGCGGAAGATTTAAAACAAAAATACGATAATTTTTCTCGTGTATATATTTATAAATAACTATAATTTTAATATAGTACGTTTATGATGATGTTATAAATGTTGAAAGACCCGACAAAAATAACAAAACTAGTAACATAACAAAACTAGTAATATTGCAACAGAGAGCTAAGGCCGATCAGACAAAAATAACAAAACTAGTAATATTACAACAGGAAGCTAAGGCCGCCTCTGAGGATCAAATTGTCTCTTGATCGAAAATGGTCCGACAGATAATACTAAAAGTACAACTGTTCAATGAAAAAAAAAATATTTACACATTACAATTTTTAATACACAATTATGTAACATTGTATACGTGCTGACATTTACATTGAAATCGTGACATAGTTTGTGAACTAAAGTGGGCGTCACGCTTCGGTTATTGCCTGCCTTTCTAGAATGCCGCAAATGCATCCTGTCTGCACCTTCGCTGTAATATTATAAACGCAACGGAATTGCGTACTCGTTATCTAATTTGAAAAAAAGTGCTGGAAAGGAAATGCACTTGAATTATCGACGCCCGTACTTTGACGGATGATAACTTATTTTTCTTAAATTACGATTTTTCTCACGCGCAGTAAAAAGACTTTCTCTTTGAATCCTTGATTTGTAAATCCTTGATTTATATTTAGCCCTTTCATAACGCGCGGCATCGATCACGCTCGTTGATTCTGCATTTTTATTATCCAAGAAAATTGTGTACGTAGACAATTGAATACGACGCGGTAAACTTTTTAAGACTATTTCAAGATTTGAAAGCAAAAGACATTTTAAGCAGACATTCTTATATTTCGTTACCGCTTGAGAATCAATAACAATTCAAACAGTATTCAAACTATCACTCGAAATGTTTCAAAATACACGTGCGCGCACTTACATGTTTATATTGCCATATTCTGTAATGTTATGAGAAACAGTATATAACTATGTAAAGTTGCAAATCACTATATTTGAAGTGCACAGATTTATACATACTTTTCAACGCAAATCTCTTTCTCTCTTTCTGTGCGGGCGCACGCGCGCGTGTATGCGTGTCATTTACATATATACAGACTATATTATTAGTTAGATTGCATATAATGTGAATCATAAAAAAGATTTATTATTTGCCCGGTTTAGCTCAACGTTTATTTATGTAAGAACTGAACAAATTGCTTATTTTTTTATGTAATAACGATTTTACAGTTTGTCTCATAACTGGCATTTTGCGAGAACGCATTTGCAACGAACCAATAAATAAAATGTTAATTATATCATTTGGATTAAAAGATTTGTCATTTTATTTTGCATTACTTATCCATCATTTACTTATTTTATTTAAATCTCGATAGGTTAATTTTTAATATTTTTTATTTATTTTAAAAATACATTTACAAAGTTTTGTGTTCTTTTTATAATACGTTTGACATGAGTATTGTACAAGAAACTAAAAAGAAGATTAAAAAGAAAGAAGAAAAAAGACTACAAACTATACAATTAATTATTCCCTCTCCATTTAAATTAAAATTGTTTAAGTTATTAATGAGCTTAAATTTGATCCCGGATGAAAAGTTGATTTTTCTTAGGTCGCGACCTCTCTCACGTTAGGGAAATACTTTCACTTCAAATCCTTCGATTATTCTTAAACATGATATTGTTACGCGATATTATCAGGCGGATACTCTTTGCAGTTTGCAAGGCCAATTTCGTTGCTCAAGGCCCCAAGGCATTCGTGAAAGAACGAGGCGGGTCTAATATTTTTTTAAGTGCATCAAATATGCATGCACGGTCCATTACCTTAGGCGGTTAACACCCAACTGTAATAATATGTAATTAAATCATAGAACATAAGGAAATAAAAGTAGCCCAATACTGATTAAACACTAATCAAAGTTGACAAACAATTAAATCTAATTAAATTCAGTTGAATTTTTGTAAACGAATCGCTCATTTAGTTATTTAAAATTATAATTTAAATAATCCGCATTTGTAATTATTATAATAATTGTAAATTACGTTTAAGTAAATTCTGAACATACACGCGCGCATTACGCATAAGATGTAAATTAATTGCACTAAATAAATAGATTGACGTAAGCGCAGTGTCAGATGCATGGCATTACCTGGAAATGATATTCTGAAAATTAGTTCCGTCTACACAGCCAGTCACTTCGCTGCTATTCAAAGCCATTCACCGCACTCAAGAATATTTAACGATTTCTTAGCAATGATAAACACGCGGGCACGGGCATGAACATATGTGTACCTCTAAATACTAGTTTAATCACAAACGCTACACTTTTATGACTCAAATGTAATCACTACCGGTATGTTGTCAGTTTCCCACTACTCTATTATATTTATCTGGTTATTTGTTTTGCACTTTCTTTTTATTCGTTTTACACATTCTTTGTCAAATTTTACATAAATTTTTATTTATAAAAAATTTTATTAGCGATTATCACACATTTTATATCTTTCACATTAAATTTAAATTTAAAAAATTGTTAGATCTTCAAACAGAAATATTTAAATTGTTTAAATTTGTTATAAAATATGACATTAAAAATGATTATTAAAGTATACAGCATTTGATAGAATTCAATGAAAATTTTTACTAACAAAAAATTGTTCAAAGTTGATTTAAAAATGCGTATAATATATTCAAAAATATTGCACAATTTTGTAACATTCTATGGCTTTGAAATATCCTATAACGAGGAAATCACTTTTCGAATGCCAAGCTTCTCGCACTGAGATTAATGATTGAAAGTTGATTTAATATTTATCCCTTGGGCAATATATTTGCTCAGGTTAAATCGAGCTCAAATAAGAACGCGGAAGGTAAATTGATATGCGATTAAGATAAGATAGTCTCGCCATACAGAAGCTAGAAACATATGCTTTTATCAATAATTTTGCAATAAACTTTAATTATTGCTTACTTTTGTAAATTATAAATTATAAATATAATAAATTTTATGATTTCGGAGTTTCAAGAACTATTAGAATATTGCATTTATCAAGGAATTCAGAACTTTCTTTGAAACTTTAAATTAATGGAGCATTTTTAGTTGTTACCATTTTTTCTATCTTAAAAAGATTTTCTCTCTTAATGGAATATCTTATAAATAAATAATAAAAATGTAAAATAATTCGTATTCAAATAACAAATGTAAGAAAGAAAGGCTAATAGAACGATCAATATAAAGTATATACTTAAAAGTGTATACGTAATAATTATATTACGGAATGCTTCGACTTTAATTAAATCTTCTTCAACTGCTAATGTAATATACAAAAAAATAATAAAGTTCATACATTATTTCGGAAAAATACACGTAAAATAAAATAAAATCCGTCGTTATTAAAATCGATAGGTCAAAAAAAAAAATAATAACGAATGTCGATTATATAAAATTCGAGAATCAAATTATAAAAGAAATCCATGATTAATTTTTCCCACGAGAATTAATTAAGTCCAGTGTTGTAAATTAGATATAAAGAATATTGAATACAATCTACATCAATATAATACGTCAGTATAGTAGACTGCATACAACGCTCTTATAAATTACAACATTCAACTTAATTAATAATGAAAGATTGTGTGCAAAAGACCTTCAAAAACAAATATGTATATTATAATAATTGGCAATGAGAGTTAAGTGATGCAAAACTTACAATCGTTTAATTAAGACTAAAATTACATTCATGGAATAGAAAACAATCGGAATGATCGTTTCGGACGATTCGGCTTTGCTTCAAGCGATGTCATATAAAATTTTTGATTAATGTGATAATCTCATATTTTCCAAATCAGACATATGCGGATGAAAGTTTCGAGACTACATGGTCTAGAAAGCTTCGAGATCAGATGATCTATAGACTCGAAATTTACTTCGCAACAGATTTCTAGTACGAAATGAAAAATAGTTAAATAGTTAGGCCATGAGATTTCAAAAACGTGAAAATGACAACGAGACATTGAAAACCAATACATGCAATATGTCGTAAAACAACAACGGTATTACAATAATTATTGTTATGTACAGGAGTCAAATACAAAATGATTGAATTCGTGATAGTATCGGACAATAATTGAATTATCGGACATTAACAAAAATTTTATTTGACATCGCTGATGATGACTCAAAACAAAGCCGAAACGTCTGATCGTTTTCTAGATATGTATCATTATAATTTTAATTTTAATTAAATAATTATAAATTGCGCACAACTTACCGAGACGAACTATCATTGCCAATTATTACAATTTATACTTATTTAATTTTTGCACAAGAAACGAAAAATAAATTATAAACTTCTTTTAAAATTTGACTTTTATTTTATTGACTTTTGATATTTAATTTAATTAATTAATTATATATAGTTAATTTTTTGTTCTAATCTATTAATTTTAATAATGACAGTCTTTATTTTATTGTGTCTTTTGACATACACAGTGCGGTCCATAAGTTCCCGGACTGATTTTTTTGCAGCCTCCCCATTGACGCCATTTATCGGACGACTGTGAAACTACGTTGTTTAAACCTTTTCAAACAGCCATGTTGAGCGGCATAATTTTAGCCACAGTTGTTGAAGAGTGCGGACGTCTGATATAACCTAGTGTTGTGTATGTGTGTCACACTCGGGAGATGGACGGGTAGGAGGAACAGCGGGTACTCTCTAAATTTTCTAGTGTGAATTTTCACTTTTTTGGAGTAAATCTTACTTCAAAAGAGTAAAAAT